GAAGAGGATGTGTTGTTTTGCACTGACTGAAAGAGGGGCATTGCTCGATCTTCACGACCGGACTCTGCACAGTGTTTGTGACCTGATGCGATGGAGGTGCGTCCGGTCAATGCTGACGTACGCTGACGTTGGGCTAACTCGAGGGCCAAAGAGGAACGGACGCTGAGGCGCGTCTGGTCACACGCGATCGGACGCGTCCGGTCAGCAAAATCCCTCTCTGGACCCTTACTAGAATCGATCTGACTTGAGGTGGTGCGGCATCTGGTGAAGTGAGCGGCGCGTCCGGTCAGTGTTTGATGGCTTAGGCGCACACGTGGGCGTTCTATGCACCGACGCGTCTGGTCTGTTGATCGTCGTGTCCAGTCACCACTTAAGCACCCGCGAGGCTGAAATCGACCATTGGAGTTTGACATGCACAGTTCAAAGCTGGGAACACGTGGCTATCATCCGGCGACCAGACACTGGTGAGCGTGCGTCCGGTCGCGTCGTGAAAGCGAGCAACAGAGAGCCAACGACTCTATTTCGAGGGGACACCTATATAAGGTGTTTAGCCGGCTCTAGCTCACTCTCTTGGTCATTTGCATTGATATAGCAACCTTATGAGTTTAGCCAAAGCCCTCCCACTCATCTCCATCATAGATTCATCATCTTTGTGAGATTGAGAGTGAATCCAAGTGCATTGCTTGAGTGATTGCATCTAGAGACAGTTGGTGATTGTGTTTTGCTGCATGATTCACTTGTTTCTCTTGGTGGTTGCCGCCAGCTAGATAGCTTGGTGCAGCGAGAATTGTTGAGTGGAGGAAGGTGATTGTCTTCGGCTCCGATCATGGTGATTGTGAGGGGTTCTTGACCTTTCCCTAGCGGAGAGCCAAAAAGTACTCTAGTGGATTGCTCGTAGCTTGTAGATCCCCATCTTGTGTTGGTTGTGCAGCACCCGATTGCGGGTTAGGCGTGTGATGCGTATTAGCGCGTGAACCTTCAAGTGGGTGGATCGCTACAATAAAAACGTAGCTTGCCTGCAAGCAAGTAAACCTCGGGGATAAATCATTGTGTCATCTTGTCCCGAGGATTTCATTAGTTCTCTTGTGATTGATTGATTGATCATCGCTTGCCACGTCGGTATAACCTCACTACCTCACCCTTACATTTACTTTCCTAGTGTTGCTAAGCTCTTTAGTGTAATTAGTTTTGAGAGCTAGCTTGTGTCGGGTCTAGTGGTTAGTGAGGCTCTTTAGTTAGTCTTTGAGAGCTCACTAACTTAGTGGTAGTGACCTAGCATTGTGTGCTTAGAGGCTATAGTAACTAGAATTATGGTAGGTGGCTTGTGTTTTTAGTAGGCTAGGGCAACACTCATTTTGCCTCATAATTGTCTAACATCTTTGCTTAGTGTTGTTGTAGAAATTTTTATAGGCTATTCACCCCCCTCTAGCCAATAGCACCTTTTAGAAGCCAATTCGGCTACAAGAAGAACGATTCAATGGTGGCGGAGCGCAGCAGATTCGGTAGTGGGGAAGACAATTTGACGGTGGTGGAAGCCGCTCGTGGATAACAGGATAAGATTGATTTGCCAACAATGTAGGTTTATTCGATGGTGACAGAGGACAATTTGGCAATGGCTCGACTGGCCATGCTCACGCAGCCCGCCTTCACAATCTTGCGCGACTTGGCCAACACCGTTGTGTGTAGGAGCCTCGCTTTCGCGCTCGCGTGCACGCGTCCTGAATCACCACGACCATGACATGGCAGCGAATCTTGTTCCTCCACCCTGTTTGGCTTCCATGACGACGCGTCGTCAGATCCCGGTGCTGGTGCCCTACCGCTACCTGAAAGGTGTGATGGCCTATCACCACAACGAGCAAATCTACGGGTTGCATGGCAACAGAGTCACCATCTCCGTGCATGGGGGAGTAGGAAGTCGATGCAGTGAAGATTTGGGGCAGTGAAGCGACGCTAAACAGGTGTGTAGATAAACCCTGGCTAGTTGGGAACTTGGGAATGCCCGTCCTTTGCGTTTCCAGCAAGCTTGGCTTAAGGTGGTCTGCGCATTCATAAGGCTAGAGTATAGGGCATAGGGAAACCAAATAGCATCTTAGAGCTTCTCCACCGACCCCCAATTCCTATCTCCAATGAAAAAATGTTGTAGTTTGAAGGATTTGAGAGCTCCAAACAGTCTTGCAATCTTACCCCCAATGAGGAAAAAAAATGTCAGCCGAGCAAAATCCAACCCTCAACCCCTCAAAGATGAGGGGGCAAAGACTCGCCGCCAATACAAAGAGAAAAGAAGAGCACACACCTCATCGTCTTCCATCGCGAGTTGTCGACGGTCACTAGGGCCTTCTCCATCGGTGGCGAGCAACCAAACTATGATTGGGGTGTAGGAGGTGAGATTAGGCTACTACCTTCTGAGTATTGGGCTGGAGAGTTTTGGTTCATGAAGTTTGAAAAGTTTTTGGGGGAGGGTTCCATTGAAAGCAGTAGCGTTCCAGACTTAAATCTCTGGTGGTGAAATTGAGCAGCAAGCTCATTCAATTTTATAGGCAGAGAATGGAGGGGTTCTACAAAGAAAGAATGGTAGAAGAGGAGGCCAACGCCAAACGGTTAGCTTCCCAAACCAACGGCTCTTTGTTTGTTTAATACTCCCTTCGTCCTTCATTCAGAGACGTAGTAGCATTTTTCACCGAGACCAAGGAGAACTTAATTGCTGTAACCTCCAGCCGCAAACGCCGCAAAATCCCTTCGTATCCCACGCTGACCGTAACTCCCTGCATGGCTGCATGCAAAAGCATTCAACGCTCGCGCAACGCCCGCGACCGCGCTCGTCCGCTCCCGCGTTTATAGTTTCAGTTTTGCAGTTGAAAATTGCCGCGTTTTGAGTTTCAGTTTTGCTGTTGAAAATTACCGCCATGCATAAGAAATCAAATATCCCACTTAAGGTTTCAGGGTGTTTAAAATTTTCACAGTTGCCGCGCCTATGAAGTCTCCACAGTTCTATATATACCCTCTCCTGCAACCTGTTCTAATCAGCTCTCTCTCTCGTCAATTCTGCTCTCCCTACCTCTCCAATCCATGGCGCCATTAGGCTTTGATCTCAACCAAGAGGCGCCCCCAGATTGGGACAATCCAATTGACTAGGAAGCCATCGGCGAGTGGGAAGGGTCTGCACATGCTCTCGGCTACAACTTTGTGTGGGATGATGGAAATAATGGTGCCGCTAGTTTTTAAAGATTCAGTTTGTGGAAAAGGTTGACAAGGCATTTCGCGAGTACCCTGTGGATAGGTCCAATCGGATTTTCCTAACACAACGGAGTTGCATGATGGAGATCATGAAGCAAAATGGAGGACAATATTACAACATCCCGCACATGAAGAAGAAGCACTTGGAGATGACAGGCAACCTTCCAATTAGCTATGAGTGTCCGATGGAAATTTACAATCAAGCATTAGGATTCGTTGGTTAAACTTGCTTCTTTTGCCATGATGTTTAGAGTATGTTTTGCATGGGTAGCGTCTGTTTACTTCTTTCCTGTTAATCTTAAGCTAGTCATGATGTTTAGACGATGCATGTTTAGAGGGACTTTTGAAATGAATGCATGAAGAAATAGATAGACATAAGCACTTCTAGGTAGCATCAGCGTTACATGCACTCTTACTACTGCTCGGTTACATTGAATGAAAAACAACTACTCTTGTTGTTCGCCTACACTGGTTGAATCTTGAATATCAGCATCACTCTCGGCCATCCATATGTGTGCAGGGAGCACAGTATCGCCATCCATCTTTAGATCGTCGATGTTAGGGAAAAGTACCTTGCAGTCAAACTCGTTGAAGCCATAGATCCATGATGTGATCTCATACTCACTGTGTATGAGACCACAGCGAGAGCATGGAATCCTGATGCCGCGACGGATTCGCCACTCCTCACGATTGATGGTAACGAGCTCGCTCTCGTCCTCGGAGTCCGGCGCCCAGTTGAGACCACGAATGAGCACTGGCGAAGCGACCGCACCCTTTGCCAGCGAGGCGGCCGCGCCCTTTGCCGGCGAAGGAGCTACGTCCTTTGCTCGTGAGGTGGCCGAACCCTTTGCCGGCGAGGTGGCCGAACCCTTTTCCAGCGAGGTGGCCGGCGAGGTTTCCATGTCCATGGGCGGTGCTTCTATTTCGTGGCTGAGTACGCAAGCGGGAGGGATAAAATAGGAAGTGCAGTTGGGAAGGGAGAGCAACTTGCATGCATGCATGCAGCTGATACTGGAAGCAAGGCGTCGCAGTTACTACGCGCGAGAATACAGGACGTGAGCGCTGGCTCCCAATGCACCCAACGGCTTAGGCGCCGGTGAATTCACAAACCTTTTTCCAAGCCAATACGCCTCTGAATGAAGGACGGAGGGAGTATACTGTGTCAGATGTACAGTGAAAAAAGAAACGTTTTTTATTGTGTTGTGGGCTGCCCATAGTTCCATGGGTAGCTTTGATATTTCTCTCCTATAAACTATCCTCACAATGTTGTCACCATGTACTGAATATTTATTTGACTAATGGACTATTTTCTAACAACACTGTGGTTGCTTAAAAAAATTCAGCACAGCTCTCCCTTTGCTTCCCTAGTTCTCATCCTTTCCCAAGGGAAAAACAGGACGGCTGGTTGCCGTCGAGAGATAAACGAAGCAACGAGGGACTAGATCACGAGGGAAAGATCAAGAAGGGGAAATCACTGGAGGTCACTGCTGAATCGCCGCCGGGAAGCGCTGGAGGCCTGTCGTGACCTCCAGGCCAGGAGGGAGAGTCGTCACGTGGGGTAGGCGGCGGCGCTCGTGCCGTCGTGCATCCAGGCGGGCCGCGGGCGTCAGTGTCTCTTTACAGAGCTTTGCTTTCGGTTAACGTCTTTGTGGTTTCTTTGCGTCTTACTCCTCAGACCTCATCTCAATGACGGGTAGGCCCCACCAACCAGCAAAACAAAACTACTCCAATGCTTCCTCTGCCCGCCCGCCGCGGCGCGCGCCCAAATGCCGCTGCTCCCTTGGCACCACCGCCGCGCGCCCCCGCGCCGCGGACGGCGCCGGCCGCTCCGTGGCAGCGTCGCCGACCTCGCCTCGTGTCTCGCGGGGTGCCTCCTCGTCGCGGCCGCGGCGGTGCTCTGTCTCTCCTCCCTGTCCTCCCGCGCGCGCTCCCGTGGCCACCACGAGGATGGTGGCAGCCGCGGGATCGTGCCCGGCGGTAGCGGAGCGACGACACCGAGGGTCACGATCTTCTCTGCGCCGCGCCCGCCGCCGGAGGGCTCGCCAGTGCGGCAGGAGCTGGCGGTGCGCTCCTGGCTGGCGCTCCCGGGGAACGTCAGTGTCGTGCTCCTAGGCGCCGGCCCTGAGGCCGTCGCGCTCACCGCGCGGCTCGGGCATCGGGTCACCGTCGATTCCGCCATTGATTATGCGTACGCATTCACAAGACCCATTACCTTATCATCATCTTTTACGTACACCAAGATCAGCTCGCCGCTCTAGCCCGTTTGTTCAGAGACTTCAGTTGCAATCTTCATCCTTGGTTGGTTTAGGTTCACGGGGACGCCATTCTTCCACTCGATGGTCGCAAGAGCACAAGCTGCCGCCGACACCGACATTTGCGTCCTCGTCGACGCCGAGATCGTCCTTCTTCCCGAAATTGTCAACGCACTGGCTCGTTTCAGCAAGGTTGATGCTGATTGGTTCCTTGTTTCTCTGTCACGTAACGTCACCGATTTCCATTACCAGCTCGCTGACAATGGAAGCCATTTGGTACAAGCAGATGGCAAAGAAGTGAGCTTCAAAAAGGTACCTTTTCGTCTATCTAAAACCAATGCTACACATGCATTCTCAGATGTTCTGTGCTTGTAATTTTGACCAATTATTATCTGTCTATATTAGTTGCAGGAGATTCCAGCTGACAAGTGGGCATCAGAGAGATCTGACAGAGGGCTGATTGTGGCTTGGAACAATCCAAGCAGTATTTTACATGAAGGAGTTCTGCCTTCTTTTCTGTATGGAAGAGGAATACACAATGGGTGGCTGGCTCACGAGGTTCTATCGTCTGAGATGAGGCTTTGCTTTGATGCAACCAGTCTGGTTCTTGGATTGTATCCTGGAAGTCTGAGTTCCATGCATGACATGACCTCGAGTAAGAATAACAGATTACCTTCTGGATCCTGGGAGTACAGTGTCAATCGTCATCTTGCTGCGATTTATGGCTCGTATTGCTGTCGATTACCATCAAGACACTTTCCTATGCTGCATAAAGTGGTAAAGCAGTCTGAAGATTATATGCTCAGTAAAGTTGACGAGCTCACATTATCAAATTTTTTCATCAGTAAAGAAGGAAATGCCCATGGAGGAGATAGACTATGGAAGAAACAAAACATTTCTTTATCTGGATATCTACACAGCTATTCTCCTGAGACCACAGCACCTGATCTTCCATATTCTTTGGGTATGCTTCTTGAGCTTGTCGCTGATAAGAATAGGTCCGTTGTCCTTGGTGTGGCTGGAAAAAGTTACAGGGACATGCTCATGAGTTGGGTTTGCCACTTGCGTCATCTTAGAGTTAACAATTTTATAGTATGTGCCTTAGACCATGAGACATATGAATTCTCAATTTTACAGGTAATCATTTTCAGTCACCTCATTTTCTCTCCTTCTCTCTGTTATTTAACCTTTTTTATACTTTGCAAAACCACGGACCACCTCAAGCTTTTAATTGGAATTCTAGGGTTTGCCTGTTTTCATAGATCCACTATCACCAAAGAATGTCAGCATTGATGACTGTCACTTTGGAACAAAGTGTTTTCAACAAGTGACAAAAGTGAAGTCACGAATTGTTCTAGAGATATTAAGACTGGGATACAATGTGCTATTGAGTGATGTTGATGTTTATTGGTTTGGCAATCCAATGCCATCCCTGTACTCTCTTGGTCCTGCTACATTTGGAGCACAATCTGATGAATACAATGAGACAGGTAAAGTTTGGATCATATTACTAGTTACTACCATTTTCTTATGTTTCTTCCTATTTTCTTCTCTTCACAATGCACACCTACATCTGGCATTATGTCAAATCCAGCTATAAACAAGAGTTAATTTCATTTACATGACACGAAGTTCCTAAAAATGTCTGTGGCAGAAACTTTAACCTGGAAATGCAAATATGACATAACAATACTGAATAGATAAAAAGAAATATCCTAGATCAGACCTGTTGATTTTTTTGACTAAGCACCCTGCTATTTGTTGTTGCATCTCATCATTGCTGTTTATTTACAGGACCAATAAATTTGCCACGCCGATTGAATTCAGGATTTTACTTTGCTCGCTCAGACAACGCCACCATCATTGCAATGGAGATGATAGTAAAACATGCAACCAATTCAGGCTTATCTGAGCAACCGAGTTTCTACGATGTCTTGTGTGGGGAAAACGGAACAAACTGCATCAGTGACGACAAATGCTTGGAGCCCAACACAAACCTGACTGTTGTGTTCTTGAACTGGGACTTGTTCCCCAATGGTGCTTACAAGGGTCTATGGGAAAAGCATGATGTACGTGCAACTTGCAAAGAGCTTGGCTGTTTCATCATTCACAACAATTGGATAAATAAGAGGAAAAAGAAGCTCCACCGACAAATGTCATCTGGGCTGTGGGACTACGATCCTAGCTCTAGGCAATGTTTGCAGGAATGGAGTGATAAAAGTATCTTCAGGATGATCGGGCAATTCCATTTGTTTGAGGACACTAACAGTTAATGGCTTCAAATCATAACCGACGATGTGCCATATCGTAGTACGGACCGTTCACTCGCCCTATCATGTTCATACAGTTTTTTTAGCAGATAATATTCCTGCTCTAGAAAAGCAAAACAATATTTGCGGATCTGAATGAATATACATTAAGTATAATTTTTGTACCTAGTAGGCTGGTTAATTTACTAACCCTCATCCCTTGTTAAATTCGCATGTCATGTGATGGATTGATCAATATTTGATACTTCCATTCGACTCCTGCAATTACAAGCTAAAATCAGTAATTGGACATTGTGTTTACCCCCACCGCTATGCAACTCCAACAAAACCAAGCTTCTGTAATTTTCAGAACAGAATAAGCAATTCAGCATTCAGTTCAGAGTCAACAGCTTCGTTTGGTGTTTAGCTGAGCATCACAACGCTTCACGGGCTCAGAGAAAAATGGCATCATTTCACAAAATATGGCGGGGTGAAAGTAAAAGATGGAACTCTTTAAAGTCCAGATTTCCTGTGTCAAAGCTGATTATAGTTTCCCAAACAAAATGATAAAACACTAGCCATTTGCAGCTCATTGGAGCAATAAAATCAACAGGAAAAACACATAAAATTGTTAATCACTTGTCCAATAACGTCATAGAGGTTTCTGATTGCAAAAGGTTGACAGCTTATTACAGTTCTGTATTGCGGAGATACAAGATCTCACTTCATCTTTGCTTCTGTAAACAGAACATGCTTGTTCACACGGGGATCGTACTTTCTAAATTCAAGCTTCTCAGTGATCCGCCGAGGATTCTTGCGCTTCACATAGAAGAATCCAGTGCCAGCTGCAGAAACCAGCCTGATGAAGATTGAGGCACGCTTTGCCTTCCCCATCAATGATTATAAACTTGTAGCAGAAGGAACTGAAAAGAGGGCAAACATAAGCATACAATCAAAATTCATAGAGGTAAAATTCAAGGTTGCTATATTCAAGTGAGATAATACAATGCACCAGGCAAACAGTAGAGCAAGCAAAATTTGTACACAAGTTAATAAATAGTAATAAATCGCAAAGGATTATGTGGATAATTCAAAACCTACATACACAACAAAAATCACCAGGGTAAATCCAACCCTAAACAGTGAACCGTCCTTTCATATCCATAAGCCTCTTGCTATCCTTCTTGAAATACAGATTACATAAGCATCTATGAAGCTATCCGTGTAGCACAGATATCGGGAGGAAACCGGGGCGGACACAGTAAAGGACATGGGTGTACACATGTACACCCAATGATTTTGCAAAAAAGCGAATTTATTAGGCATAATACATATATAAACTTGTAATTAGATCAGATGCGATTACAAATACCTAAATAGATTAAGGTTCGGGTGCTCAGTTTTGCACAGAAAGAATGGTGAGAAAATGACAAGTCAGGATAAAACTGACCATGAACAGCGTGATCAGAATGGTGAGAAATTATTGCACAGGAGAAACTAAAGAATAACTAACTCATAATTATATGCATCTGAGGAAGACTTCGTATATAGACTGCAGATAGCAGAAGATAAAATAATAAATGTTGACTTCGGTCTGCCTACTTTGATAAAACTGGAGTCAGCCATTTCTATTATCAGATAGCACATCTTTTCATTAGACAACTATCAAAACGTGAACTAATTATTAGGAGGTATATAACCAATAATAAGGGTTGGCAATTTGTGTGGAAATGATCCAGTCACTTCTTTCTCTCAACATGAACATTGTCTATTAAACAATAATGGAGGCAAGAGTGATTGCAAAGTGCTGCACTAAACATCGGTACCAGTGTTGGACTGGACAGCATAATGTATTGCAAGACTAAACTGTTTCTGCTCTTGTTAAATAATATGCCTAACAAATTTTGCTTGCTAAAAGGCTAAACGAAATGATTAGAAATGATCGATAAAAGGCTAAATCACTTTCAGTATTAATTTTTTTCCTCAAAAACAAAAAAGATAGGATACTGTCAAAACGAGAGCAGTTGGTAGGTTGTAACATTGGAAACAAAACAATCCTATTGAAATCATATTGATAACGATCCAAAGCAATCAAAACGATATACTTGCTTCGTTGGTTCGTAACAAAAATAATTTCCTCCTAATCCCCATTTTCTTCTTTTCGCTCTCAACATAAAGCAATGTCGTAGCCTAACACTTGCTACCCAACGGCAACACAATACAGATTCCTAACTCTACAACACTGGTTTCTCTCTCACAACTACGAGCTGCTCACCACCAACCTCGATTTGTCACCCTTCTACACCTCCATCTGTACCTATTGCTGCAGCCATGAACCACACCCCCACAATCAGCCGACGCGTTTGCTTCCCTTCAACAAACCACAGTCATCCATCCGAGGTGGAGCCTTCACTTCGTTTCAATCAATTGAATTGATATTACATTTGAAAATTGGAGTAGAAAAATACCTCAAATGAGGACAAATCTGCGCTGTGTCTCTGCGTGCCGGTTGGCCTCCACAACCACGACCGAGGGCGAGCAGCTGAGCAGGACGTACGAATCGAGCGGAGCGACGGATCCAATCACGTGATGTGGGCGGAGGCGGCAGCGGCAGCGGCGGCGGCGGCGGTTGCGCCACGAGAGACGGAGAGAGTGCGGGGCGAGCGGCGGCGGTGGACGGGAGAAGAAACGGCAGGCTGTGAATGGCACCCTAAAAATCTATACGGGCCTGGAGCAGGCCTGAATACCTAGGCCCACTAGTCAAAAATCGAATTTTCCAATAAAATCTATTTGGATTCCACTCAAACAAAAAAAAAAAAATCTATTTGGATGTTGTAGTTTCCTGACTGTGGCCTTGTTCGGCTGACCCCAAACCCGACTTGATCCGCTTCTTTTTTTATCCGGAACAGTATTTTTCTCTCACAGATTCAGCCATAAACAGTAACTTTCAGCCGCTACAGTGATTTTTTGGGTCAGCCGAACGCCCCCTGTAGTGTTATCAACAGAGTATATTTTTGAAAACCAAAAGCTATTGACTACTTCCTCTATCCTAGAAATTTTATAGGAACTGTGTGGTAAACGTGGTTAGCAATATCAAACTTACTCAGAGAAATTTTATAGGAGCCCTCCCTTAACTATAGATGCTAGACTTTATGCATGCCATATTTTGAACATGGTGATGGACACTAATGGCATGTACACATGTGATTAAGACTTTGAGAAAGTTACTTCACCTAGAATACCTTACATTTGCGATAATTTTTGAATGCTTTAATACCTAGAATAATTCCAATAAAATCTATTCTTATAGGAGAGCTCAACAGATGGGAACAAAAGGAGAGTGCATCTAGAGAAAAAAGAGGAACACAATGGAAATAAGGAGTATGATGCGCCGAGCTCTGTCAAGAAAAAAGAGAGTCTTGGTGGAATTTCCAAAACTCTATAAATTAAAGAATTATAGTTTTTCTAAATATTGCACTTCTCAAAACTCCAAAAATTATTCCATCCTAACTTTATTTCTTCTCAATACCTAGGTATTTTTGTAAAACCATAGTATTCATATGAAACCCCCAAGAAAAAAACTTTGTATCCAAACAATCCGTTTGGCTCTGTTCGGCAAGCTTTGGATTTGTATAATCTGAATGGTACCAAGATAGAACATTATCGGTGTTTCGAGTTACCACCAACGACTAAATTTCTAATATTGCACGTCTGGCTCGGATGATGTGCTAAGAGGACACGAGGTTTATACTGGTTTGGCCAGAATGTTCCTACGTCCAGTTCGTTGCTGCTGCTCGTATTACTAGCACTGAAAGTTCGTAGTAGGGGTTACAAACGGGCGAGAGAGGGACAGGTCCCAAGTCTCTGGTGAAAGGAGTAAACAGGTGCTGAGGGAGCTCGGTTGCTGCTCAGCCGTGTGTTCGGGGTTTGATGGGTTTGTTCGGATCTGGCTTGAATCGATCTGATGCCCCTTAATGGGGCGCCCTGCTTTCCCTTTTATAGGCCAAGGGAAAGCACGGGTTACAGTGGAAGGAAAGAGAAGAACGAGAGAGAGTAGGGTCGTCGAGTCCTTCTTCTCCTTCATGTGGGTCCCGCCGACATTGTAGATATCAACAGGGACGGCGCCATGTCACGGTCTTGTCCGTCATTGGCGCCATACGTAGGCGTCGTCTGCCGGTTACGGCGCTCCACTCTATCCTGGCGGACGTCGTGGTGAACCGACGTGCCTGTCAGTGTTCGTACGAGGGTTAGGCAAAACAGTACCGATACGCACGACGTTGTTCTTGATGTGAATCTTCTAGTATGGCCCATCATGGCCACGGGTTACATCGGGGCATGCCGGTCTCTTCCCTGGTGTCAGAGCTTTGACCCAGGCCCATACGCTTAGACCTAGAGTGGTTGGCGGCGGTATGGGCCTCCGTCGGGCGAGGTGGAGCGCCAACCCAAGGGTCAGGCGAGGCGGAGCCCACGGCCTTAGGGTCGGGCGAGGTGGAGTCCGCGGTCCTGGGGTCGGGGCGAGGTGGAGTCCGCGGTCCCTTGGCTCTGTTCGATGCGAGGCGGCCTCGACCCTTCGTGGGCCAGCCTTCGAACCCCAGTCAGTTGGATTCCTGAGTTAGGGTTGGGTGGCTCAAGCCCCCGAGCCTCATTGGGCTCGGTAGGGGTCAGCCGAATTTCATGTGTCACCCCATCTGCGGTTTCCGTAACTAGAGGGGCTGAGCTAACGGCACTTGCCTCGTTGGCTCAAGTGTCGCGCTCGGCGAGCTCGCTAACGGGCATGTTTGAGCGAAATCTGGGTCCGTCATTCGCTGATGGGGTCAGCATAGCCCTCTCGTGGCATTCCACTGCTCCTTAACCTGCATCCCTGCAGATGCCCACGTCGCTCTGGAGAGCGACTCAGGTGGCCCGCTGGCCTCTCCTCGATGGAGATTCTGTGGGCTTGGCTCGAGGTTAGGATCGAACGAGAAAGGTCGAGATGTCCCTGTCCGCTTCTGAGCGGGGTCGGGCAAGGGCTGCTGGGGCTCATC